GGCACATTTTCCTTCCTGTGTGATCTTGTGCATGCCCCTTCAGGAATAATTCAATAGTGCATCCTTGTAGATTCAGAAAGGAGTTCTTCTGAAGCTGCTTCTCCCTTCCCCCTGTGGAAGCCAGGTGACCAGTCTCTTCTCCAACTGAAGCCAAAATAGCCATGGAAGGCAATAATGAATGACCAGAAGGGAGAGAGCTTGTCCACAGCGGCCTCAAGTTGCCAACAAAAACTGGCAGATCCCAGCCCCTACCTGCATCATTGCCAGCAACATCAAGATGTCAAAGTTCATACAGCAAGACTTTGTGCAAAGAGAAAAGGGGAAACACTATTTCTAAACCAGAACAGCTAAATTTGAATGTCTGCCTCCCTGATAGGGAATAAGACAAAGACAACCACCATCCTGAGGGTTTTTCCTTTCAAAGTTAGCAAGGTTTCTTTGTGCAAGATCTCAGGATAAACCCTCCCCCTGCAGTAATACATAATGCCAGAGTCTTCTGGGCAGAATCTAATCCTGCATGAGTGAAGACTACAATCATTTACTTTTCTCCTTTACAACATCTTGTTGCTTATCTTCAGGATTTGCTTCAGAGTATGGGATAGGTGGTGGGAGAGACACTCCATAGCTGATCTGAGAGAAAGAAATTGCCCCTAATCCTATTCCATCAATACATTATGCTGCATTTGGTTGGTGCATTAGACTGAATAAAATTACATACTGTGGATGTTTTAAAAGCACCAAAAGAAGTAAGCCAGTCTTCCTTAATGTGGTTGTTGCCCCTCAGATATCTTGGACTTCAACACTCATAATCTTTAACCAGCATGGCCTCCTGGTTTGGGTAGACTGAACTAACCAAGCTAAATAATCAGATACTCTGTGGGAAGAAAGGGGGAATTAAACTACCAGATGTTGATGACTCACATCTGATGGCAATTCATTTATATTCTCCCACAATTTCAGTGAGAACTTTTGAAAACCAAGCCCACTCTAATCTGTATAGGATTCCAATTCTTTCTCTTGCTATAGGGTGACAAAGATATTTGAACTGGATGGTTCTATCTTGAATTCTAAATTTATCTTGATTTCTAAATTAATACCCTAAAACTTTCCAGTGTTTGGAATAGGGTATGAAAACTACAAATGACATGCTTCAGCTTTTGATTCTATATATCATTTGCAGGAAACAACATTGTGCTTACCTAATTGTAGCTCACTGCTGTCATTTACATTCTACATCTGTCTAACACTTGTAATACTTCACCACTGATCTTTGCATAACACACTGAGTTTACATTCAACCTTGCAAGGAACAAATCAGTCCTCCTGTTTTGCAGAGGGAATGTAACACAGACTAAAATCATTATGGTTCACCTTCAGCACTGCAACTGACTGCAAAATTGTGCTGGATTTATCTGTGAGAACCAGGGAGAAAATAAGACAGGATCTCAGCTTGTAGCCCTCAAGCAATAAAAATAGTGAAAGAGGGATTGAACTTTTCTTTTGGAATTCAGTCTTGATAGAAGAGAGAATAGTTCAGGGAATCCACGGATAATCTTATGCAGTCAACTAATATGGAGAAAAAATATTCTAATAAGCCCTCTATATCAAGATATATAAAGGCATATATTTTTGATCCTGAACAGTGGTGGTGATTATGATGTTAACAAGGAATATTGCTCAAATATGATAGTCAACAGAAGTGATACTCTGTAGTGTCAAAGATCATTTCTCAGGTTAAAGCTTCATACTTCAAGTACAAACTTTAGGAAAATTAGTTCTGACTTTTATTATGTTTCAGAAACTATCCTATTTCCAAAACCTTGAAAACAAAGCGTGTCAAAGGTACACAGATATACACAAATTTCCTCAAGCCATTAAGCCAGTAAAATGAAGATATTTGTCATGCACTATAAAGAACAATATATTTGGGGGGATTATATGATTAGCCTCACATTAATTCTTCTTCATTAGTTCAACTCAATACTGTAAGCCATGAAGAGGCTGCAACCAATCTATTTAGTATAAGTTTTAAACCTGCCCAACCTAATATTCACAGATACTTTGAGACTGCAATTCTCATTGGCCACAATGGCAGGGGTTGAAGGCTAGTATAACTTTTTAAAACAAGGAAAACATACATTTTGAAGTCAGTCAATTCTTCTTCAACAATTGAGTGATCTGACTAATATGCAGCCTAGCAGACCAGTGTTTCTCAACCTTGGCAGCTTTAAGATGCATGGACTTCACAAGCTGCCAAGGTTGAGAAATACTGTAATAGACAATTTAAAAAGGAAATGCATTTAATGCAGATTTTGACAGCCTGGAAGTTGGAGACTGCAACTATTAGCTTTCATCAGAATGTAACTATATACTTTGACAGCATCTGCAGAGGACATTAAAACAGAGAAAAATTAACACCACTATTCTTTGAGAACTGCAGTGTAAAATAAAGTCTTTCTCCCATTCTAAAAACCATAAAATCTAGATTATGTGAATCTTAAAGCTATAATACAACCAATATTATATAACCAGTGGTTGTAAATTAGGTTATGTACCTCCAGCTTAGTTCTTCCTCCTAGAAGATGTTCTAGTTTGTTTAATATAAAATGTTAACTGTTGATGGCTCTTTGACAACATGATGATGAATGGTGTCATCCACTTGAATTGGGAGCCTGATGGTGGTAGAACCTCCTGAAAGCACTAAATCAAATCCCAGAGATCAACAATTAAAAGAATCAAAAAACAGGAGATGGACATGGCCAATGTCATGATTTAATCCAAGTTAAATCAAGACAGACAATATTGGGCCAGCTGTATCAATAGTTTAACCAGATACAAGGCAACTCCTTGTGTTGCATCACCAAAACCTGTGCAGGAACACAATCCCATCCCCCCCCCCCCCCCCCAAAAAAAAGAATGCCTTGCTTTATGTCCAGACTAGGACCTGAAATCAGTTAATCATTTTGTTGACTCTGGACCAAAACCACAATAGCAAATCAAATTTAACAATCAATGTTGATGATGATGATCAACATCATGCCATTCTCTGACATTTATTGATTTTTGGAAAATAAAAGAAATACTGTAATTTCCAAAGCTTCAGTGCTATTTTAATTGAAGAATCTTAATTCTGGTTGATTTCCCATTTTTTGAACTGGTAGGGAAGTGAATTCTCTTTCAGTTCTAATAGTATGAACAAGTTCTGTTGGAGAATACTTAATTGTGGTCATTTATCAAAGTTATTTTTGCTTTAAAAATATAGTTCTAAATTGTCTCAACATGAGTGGAAAGCAAATTACAATGCTTTTTCAAATAAAGGGTCAGATTATTAATAGTAGAAGGGGTACAGTAAGAAGCATATGTGCTGGAAGCCTGCTGTTCAGACAAATTTGTGAAGATTCAAGAGCACAAGACCCCCTCCCCAGCCCTCCAGATCCAGCTCGCAGCGATGCAGCGACACCTAGTGTTCCTGTGTACTGAAAGACTATCCATCTGTAAGAAAAGATTCTGAGTGCAAATGTGTCTTCCTTTGAGAAACAGCATAAAGAAAACATTTAAGATGCAGTGTTCAAATCAGTTAAGCCCTATTATATAAAATGAAACCATGTAACAGCTGACATAGAAAGCAACACAATAGTCAAAATAAAGTGATCAATAATTAATAACAACATCAAACACCTGCAGGAGGAAAATCATACTAGCTTCTTGGAACATGTCCAACTAACTCTCATGACTGAAAGTATGTTCTACGGGCAATAGGATTTGGGACGTAGGTAGTTGTCCCTGAGTGAGGTTCATTTTTTGGCGACTCAGGAACAAATGCCATCTTAATCTGATCCCAACAACTCATAGCTCTTCCAAGGGCATTCTACTAATCTGCCCATCCACTTTATCCACTTCTCCTTCTTCTTCTACTTTCCCTGGTTTGCCAACCCTAATCATGCAAAATGTAATCCCTAGCCTTTCCAGAAGAGGCTGCAAAGGTACCAGTTGGACATTCCACTCAGATGAGCGAAAAGCTTCGCCATGATGCTTGGGAATTCTGGGAGTTGAAGTTCAGCACCTCTGAGAGGCATCAGCTTGGGGAAGGGTAAATGAGATGGCCGAACAGCATGAGCCAGTACGCAGATGCTGACTTCCTATGTGTGTCTAACTGTGCAAAAGACAACAAGCTGAGTGAACCATGAATGGTCTCCTTTCACATTCTCTGTTGTATTTTCAGAACCAATAAAATCCTAACTGGAGTGTTGTGGGGTTCTGCATAACTTCCTTCCACTAATATGAGACAAGCAGAGGTGTTTGTGGAATAAGCCTGCATTCTCAGAAAGGGCACTGATGATTTTGAGCATCTTTCACACGTACCACTGCCTAAATTTCCCACACTGGTTCCTGATGCATAGGAAAAGCCGCTCATCTGCTACCACAGCTGTTCCCCCACGTGCAGATTGTCCATTGTCCTTGACAAATTCAGTGTTTACTGCACTGTCATCTTCTAGTTAATGGAGTTTAGACTCCCTATCGGAAAATTTATAAATTAAGCACAAAACCAGTGACAGAAGCACGTCATCCCACCATCGTATGGATTGATGGGCGCATTTGCGTAAGCATAACTGCAGGGAGCACAGGGCCAGCGGAGTAAAAACGCGGAAAAGTCACGGAAAAGACATGTTCAGATCGAGGAAGTTGCAAGCCCCTTCTCCGCGAGAGCTGTTTTTGAACCTTTGCTGCCGCGGTATGCTCACGTCTGTTGCACGATCACTTGTTACGTGATGCTGCGTTCGTGCTCCCCTTGGAAACGACTGGATGAAAGAGGCTGGCGCCGGCTCTCAATTCCAAGCGATATGCCAAGAAAAGTGTACGTGGCCTTTGAGGGGCGGCGGGGGGTGCGTGGGTTGTCGGAGGACTTGTTGCAGGCGGTGCGTCTGAGAGCCTGTTGCACGGCACGTGCGAGCGGGGAGGGTTCTGCCCGCGGCTGCTGCGCGCGCGGGGCGCGTCCTCCTTCCTTCGACGGCCGCTCCGCCTGCCTCGCCTGTCGGGCGCGGGAGCGGCGCCGAGGCCCCCTCGCGAGCACCGGTCTTCCCCGGGCGCCCGAGCCTCCGTTGCCATGAGCGCGCGCTCTCGGCGCCCAGGGCAGCAGCAAAAGAGGTCCCGCGGGCGGAGCCCCGCCGCCGCGACCCACTTCTGCGCTTTCGGGCGCGGTGCCTCTGCCGGGCGCGCGCGCGCTCGTTCGCTCGCTCGCTCCCCGGCTCTTTTCCTCACCTGCTGCTCCCAGTCCGGAGAACCGGAGCTGCTGCTACCGCGGCAAGTAAGTGTGCTTGGTCTGTTCCTCTCTTCTTTTGCTTCCTCGTCCTCTGCTCCCTTCTCTTCCAGAGGCGATCCTGTACCACCTGCTCAGCCGAACTAGCCGGCCAAGTTGCTGGCGAAACTTTCTGCAGTGCCCCGAAACAAGACGCCCCGTTTTTGCCGCCTCGTCAATTCGAGGATGAAAGAAATTAGGCGGCTCCGACGACTGAACGCAGATATGCCATAGCAGCTTCCTTCTCTGGTCCCGGAGAGCGGGGAGACTGAAGGGCTGATGCGCGCGGGGCTTCCCTCTTCCTTCTCCCCCCCCCCCCCCCCCCCTT